CGTCGTCGTCGTCGCCTACGTCGTCCTCTGTCTTTCCTCGTGTTCGTCGTCGTCGTCCTCTTTGGCGTCGTGGTCGTTTCCGTTGTCGTTGTCGCCGTGGTCGTCCTTCCTCCTCCCTCGTCGTCGTCGTCCGTCGCCGGCGTCTCGTCGTCGTCCCTCCTATTTTGTCGCCGTCGCCGTCGTCGTCGTCGTCGTTGTCGTCGTCGTCGTCGCCTTCCCTCCTCCCTCGTCGTTGTCGTCGTCGGCGTCGCCGTCCTCACTCCTTCTTCGTCGTTCGCGTCGTCGCCGTCCTCCCTCCTCCCTCGTCGTTGTCGTCGTTGTCGTCGTTGTCGTCGTCGTCGCCCTCCCTCCTCCCTCGTCGTCGTCTTCGTTGGCGACGTCGTCGTCGCCTTCGTCGTCGGCGTCGGCGTCGTCGTCGACTTCGTCTTCGTCGACGTCGGCGTCGTCGTCGTCGCCGCCGTCGCCGTCGTCGTCGTCGGCGTCGGCGTCGTTGACGTCGTCGTCGTCGGTGTCGTCGTTGTCGTCGTCGTCGGTTTCGTCATCGTCGTCGTCGTTGTCATCGTCGTTGTCGTCGGCGCCGGCGTCGTCGTCGTCGTCGGTATCGTCGTTGTCATCGTTGTCGGCGTCGTCGAAGTCGTTGGAGACGTCGTCGGTGTCGTCGTAGTCGGTGTCGGCGGCGTCGTCGTCGTTGTCGCTGTCGTCGTCGGCGTCGCTGTCGTTGCCAAGTGCCATTTGGTACCCACCGTCACGGACTTAAGAGATTTTGCAGACCAAGTTGCGGGTGGGTGGGTGGGATGTTTGCGCGAGCAGTGGAGTGGACAATCCATTGCGAACAGCAATTAATTGCACCTCATAGAAAGCACAACTTACGTTGCACCAAGCTGATTCCACAATCTGGATTGTACAACGAAGCTGGCACAACATATAGTACACCTCGCACATTGCGCCACATAGGCTGTGCAGCATACATATACGGCGCCACCGCGACGAGCTTACAACCTATAGCGCAGCGCACATGACACATTGCACCACGCATATTGCACAACCTATATCGCACGGCTGATCCTTCATAACACAGGTTGCACAGCATAGATGCACCACCTATATTGCACCACCGGGATTTACTTGAACAAAAAGGTCCGGACCCTCCACCCTCCCGAGGCCGAATGGATCGTTTCCCGTGGGGATGTGCGATGTACAGGTAATCGATTCTTCCCCGCCGTCCATTCTATCGGTAAGTTCATACCACCCCAGCCGAATCAATATGGATGCTGCCTTCGTTTTTGTCAAGAATTACTGAGCGCTGACACGTGCATCGAACATTACAATTTCCCAACAGTCCTCTGCAGCAGAATTTAACGAAGTGCACGCGCGCGCGTTCCCGAGCACGCATGTGGAAGTCCTCCACATAGTTTCGGTAGCGCACGGGTTTCACAGTCCAACGTCTCGAACATGTCACAAAACATGGTGATGCAACATGGTGCTCCCACTGCGAAGAGAATGTCAGCGCCCGCGCTCTTTCGCGACCTTGCGCCTCCTCACTGAAACGATGTAGTTTCAACTTTCTCATCGCATGCGTCCAAGCGGGCCGCGCGAGCGCATGCCGCAGCCGCTCGAGCGCCCTTGGGCGCGTGGTGAGGGAGGAGCGCACGAGCCCAGGCAAGTCAGGCCACGCGGGCCACGCGCGCCCGACGGCCGCGCGCGCACGTCGGACCCCCTCCAAGATTTTCGCCGCCAGCGCGCGGACACAGCCATCGTCTTTGGCGGGATCGGCATCGGCGTCGTCGCTGGCCTTGCCGTCTTCAGCGTCATTGTCGCCGCCAACATCGCTGCTATCATCACCGCGCCTGCCGTCGCCGACGTCGGCATGACTTTTCTCCCGCCCGAAGCATCGAATCGCGCCGAAGTGCCCGCACGTCAGCGCGACCTGCGAGACGCACTGGGAATTCCGCACTGGTCAGCGCGTCCGTGGCTGCGTCTGTCGCGACAGACTAGCTAACCGCTTTGCGCGCGAGCCAGCGCGCGCCAGCGCGGCCGAAGCGATGCGCCAACCAGCGCCAAGCGGTCATCGCAATCGCAGGTGACCTTGCGTTGCGCACCAAATTGCGGGTGGGTGGGTGGGACGTTTGCTCGAACAGTGGAGCTGGCAATTTCAAGTCCGGCAGGGTGATTTGCGCCATTAACCCAGGTAGCATGTATTGCTCAACCCAGGCTCTATTTCAAAACAAGGAGATCGGATCGACTGCCCTCCGAAGCCGCGGTTATCGATCCCCCTGGGGATGCGCAAGTTACATGCGATTCTGCCCCAGCGTTCATTCTGATTGTGAGCTCGTACCTCCCCAGCCAAACCAGCTTTGATCCCCCCGACCATCCTTTCGAAATACCACTATGCGCGCACGCTCGCTTATCAAATCCAGCCCTTTTTGCAAGAACCCCTTGCAACGTTCATGTGACGAAGTGCGCCTAGTGCACACGCGCGCGTCCGCGCGCATGCGGGAAATATTCCCAAACTATGGTTTCGCGAAAATGTCTACATCTAGCGCCCCTGAACATGTACACACATATGGTTGCGCAACATGATTTTTCAAACAAGCAAAAAGCATGGTTTCCCAATGTGTGCATCAAATGCGACCTAACGGGCCTCTCGAGCGAGCATGTCGGAAACACTCGAACGCCTTCGGGCGCGTGCTAATGGGGGGGGGGGGCACGGTCCCAACCAAATAACACAATTCGGGCAACTCTCGCATGTCGACCGCGCGCGAATGTTGGAACCCACCAACAATTTCATCGTCAACGCGTGGCCACCAACATCGCTACTATCATCACCGCGCCTGCCGTCGCCGACGTCGCCATGATATTGCTCCCGTCCGAAGCATGGGCTCGCACCGAAGTGCCCGCGCGACAGCGCGGTCTGCGCGACGTGCTCGGAAGCCCAAGTGGTCAGCGCTACTCGGGCCGCGTCTGTCGCGACAGACCAGCTAACCCGCTTTGCGCGCGAGCCAGCGCGCGCCGCAGCGATGCATCAGCCAGTGCCAGGCAGTCATCGCAATCACCGCTGCTCGGGTTTTGCAAACCAATTGGCGGTTGGGTGGGTGAGATGGTTGCGAGAGCAGTGGGACCGACAATTCACGAGTGGGCATTCGTTAATTCTCCTGTCTGAAAACAGATCTAGCCCCCCCCCCCGGCGTTATCACTACCCCTTCCGGGTATGTAAATCATAGATGATTCTGGCCACATGTCCATCTTAGATATGAAATCAATGTCCCAGGCCAACCGGTATCCCCCCCCCTTGAGGGTCCCTTGTAAAAAGAACCCTATGCAGTGACATTCTTTGTTCTAACATAATATTTTTTCACGAACCCCTGGCAAAAATAGAACGAAGTACGCACGCGCGCGTCGTCGCGCGCGCATGCTGAAATCATTCAAAAACCTTCGGTGCCGGACGGATTTAGCAATCGAGTTCCCAAACAAACCTACAAAAACGCAGGGTTTCGCAACACTGATTTGCTAAAAAAACTTCCGCGCGAGCTGTTGCGAAATCTGAAGAAAACCATCGGTTTTTCAAGACTTTCGCAACATGCAGTTAATCTGGCTTCGCGCGCGCATGTCGAAATCTGTCGAACGCCCTTGCGCGTGTGCCGTCGCGAGAATCCTTTGCAAAAAATTGGACGAAGTGCAGACGCGCGCGTCGTTGCGCGCGTATGCCGAAAGCCTTCAAAACTCATCGGTTTCGGAAGGATGTCAAAATCGTGTGTCTACAAAAACACAAGGTTTCGCAACACGGATTTTCAACAAAGGCGTGCGCGCGCGCGCTCTTGCGTCGGCGTCGTCGTCGTCGTCGCCGTCCTCCCTCCCCCCGCGTCGTCGTCGTCGCCTACGTCGTCCTCTGTCTTTCCTCGTGTTCGTCGTCGTCGTCCTCTTTGGCGTCGTGGTCGTTTCCGTCGTCGTTGTTGCCGTGGTCGTCCTTCCTCCTCCTCCCTCGTCGTCGTCGTCCGTCGTCCGTCGTCGGCGTCTCGTCGTCGTCCCTCCTATTTCGTCGCCGTCGTCGTCGTCGCTGTTGTCGTCGTCGTCTTCCCTCCTCCCTCGTCGTTGTCTCGTCGTCGGCGCCGCCGTCCTTCCTCCTTCTTCGTCGTTCGCGTCGTCGCCGTCTTCCCTCCTCCCTCGTCGTTGTCGTCGTTGTCGTCGTTGTCGCCGTCGTCGTCCTTCCTCCTCCCTCGCCGTCGTCTTCGTTGGCGACGTCGTTGTCGTTTTCGTCATCGTCGGCGTCGGCGTCGTTGTCGTCGTCGAAGTCGTCGAAGTCGTCGGTGTCGTCGTAGTCGCCGCCGTCGTCGTCGTCGTCGGCGTCGTTGACGTCGTCGTCGTCGTCGTCGGTGTCGTCGTTGTCGTCGTCGAAGTCGTTGGAGACGTCGTCGGTGTCGTCGTAGTCGGTGTCGGCGGCGCCGTCGTCGTCGTTGTCGCTGTCGTCGTCGGCGGCGGTGTCGTGGCCAAGTGTCATGTTGTACGTACCGTCACGGTCTTGTCTTATGAGGTCTTGCGACCAAGTTGCGGGTGGGAGGGTGGGATGTTTGCACGAGCAGTGGAGAGGACAGCTTCAAGACGGTCAAATATTAACTGCACCGCATAGAATGCACTGCGCGCATTGCTAAAAGCATGCGCGGCGGCTAACATCATCGTTCTCAGAACATGTTTTTTTGGTTGTTGGCAGCGTGCTGTGACAAGCTGACACGTCTGCTGGGACGGCTGTTCCTGGCTACATCTCCGGCTCTTCGACCCATACATGCGACGTCCTGATTGTTTCAGGACGGCGTCCCTGAAAGTCCCGAGCCTTTCCCTGGGACCGGTTTTTCGTCCTGAGTCGTTTTTTGACGGTCCCGAGGCTCGGCGAGGACCCCTAAGGGCCGAACATAGCGAAACAAATGCCGTCCTGATATTTTTAACGACGCGATCATGTCTCGGGATGGTGGTGGTCATGACGGTGCTCTTTGTGCCCGCGTTCCGAGGAGTCTCGTGGCGCCACGTGGCCGCTCGAGCTCCCCGGCGCCCCATGCCTCAGGCGCGGCCCGCGGCGGCGCGCACTAGGGGGATGGCGCGGGGGGGGCGGCCTGCCGAGATGCCTTCCTCCTCTTCCGCCTCCTCCGCCTCCTCTTCCTCCTTTTCCCCTTCCTCCCTCTCCTCCTCCTTCTCCTCATTCTCCGCCTCCTCCTCGTCCGCCTCCTCGTCCTCCTCCTCCTTCTCTTCGTCTTCCCCCCCCCCTCCCTCCGTCTCCCCCTCCTCCTGCTCCTCTTCCTCCTCCTCCTCTTCCTCCTCCTCCTCCTCCTCGTCTTCCTCCTCCCTCTTCCCTCCTCCTCCTCCTCCTTTCGTAAACAATTCTGGCTCAAGTCACCATGTCGCCCTGCGGCCGCATGGAGATTTCTGGGCGAGGACAGTCTCCAAGTTTTTGGCGCCACCCCAGGGGCTCCGCGCCAGCCCGACGCTTTATATATGTAAGTCCTGCATAGCAGCAGGCACTCCATATCCAAAGACCAGCCTGGCGCGCCTCGCCGCTGGCATCCATATCCTGATCTTTCTTCTCGCCCTCAGGAAGCTGGCAGTCCAAGCATTGGCACCACTACATCACGTCCGTCCTAGTGTTCCACTGCGGGCAAGACGCGCTGGTTTCGAATCGGACCTCATCATTGGCAGCAAACACATCAGCGATCCCTTCGCGCAGACACAATGCCTGCCTCCAGCAGCAGCTCACCATCCTCCGACGGTGCTCGAAGATCTCATCCTCGCCCCCGTGATCGTAGACGGCAGGACAATAGCCACTCCAAGAGCAGAAGTGGAGGTGACCGCAGTGGATCTACACGTGCACGCAGACAACGACGACACCGCGACCGACGAGACATATATAGAAGGGACGACAACAGAGATCGTGAGCGTGGACATGGAGCACATCGTGAAGCAGATCGAGCACCACAGCGCACATCTGGACCATCGGCTCCACGTCCAGACGCTCTGGCTGAACGAGACCCCTGGAGAGCTGCAGCGGCTGGCCAACAACTGCACGCAGGAGCTAGCGGAGGACCTGTTCGACATCACGGACCTGAGCACATTCTTCTCTCGCCGCGTGCTAAGCGTCAAGGTGCTGAGGATTTGGAAATGTTTCCTACGTTCCCTGAAGGTGAGCTTCCAGCCGCTGGTACGCCGGTTGGTGGATTACCTACCTCACGAGATGTTGATGCTCCTCCTCTGCTTGGCGACCTGGCTCAACTGGAACAAAAACTGGCCTCATCGGGACATGAGCAAATCGCAGCGGCGACGGCACAACTCACGGCAACGGCAATTTCAGTCATTGCTCAACAGCAGCAGCTCTTCAATGCGCAGGTGCACGAGTTCTTGGCAGTCAGCAAGCAGAAAGCGTCACATCTCGAAGTGCATGACACAAGTATACACGAACTACAACCCCGAGCAGACACGGCGGAGGCAGATCAACAGCGAGTGCGACAGCAAGTTCTTGCGATGGAGCAAACTTTGGCTATGGCTGAAGTGGCGGTCCCTTTTGATGTTCAGAAGCTTGCGGCATGGGACCGGGTCCCAGACCCCACAGAGTTCAGCATCGTAGCACCGAGAGCAATGGCACCAGCGGCTATCAAGACGGCGCTGGCGGAATGGATATGTTTCTGGGGTACTTGTTGACCAACTTATTCCTTAATGGGGACGTGCCTCAACGACGGTTTCTCTTACAAGTTCAAGGCGGCGCAGCCGCCCCTGCTCGAGCCCTGGCACTTACTCGTGCACTCAAGACATCAGCTGGCTTCCGCACATTCAGCAGCTTTGACGCAGGAGGCGTCAATACCCCTGTATACGTCAGTGCCGACAAGAACGCCAAACAGGTCAGGTTGAAGCTTCAAACAAAACGCCTCCAGCGCATCATTCAGGACGCTTTCGCAGATCACAACATCGGGGCGCAGCGGGCCAAGGGCATCATCACTCTTGGTGCAGTACCGCTCGTGGCCGTTGAAGTTCACAGACCAGATGAACCATCCAAATTACGATGGGACATGCTCATCCTCGCCCGTATCAAGATTGACATGCAACCCCTGGTGGCTGCATTTGGACGGGCATTCGCTTGCGTGGATACGTATACGTGGTCTATTTACCAGACGATCGTCACCGCGGACATCTGCTCAGGAAAGGCGCAATGGGACCATCATGTCTTGGAATGCCAGAAGCCTGCTCCGTTGCACGCCTCATCGTCGAAAAGCCAACCTCAGCAAGCATGCCTCGTTCATGCGAAAGAGAGCGGTGATTACATTTCAAGAGTGCAGAGGAACAGTGGGCAAACTGACCGCTGCGCTGGCGACATACCCGCACCCTTACAAGATCGGTTTCAACCCCCTCTCTCAGATGGCTGGCGGCACTGCGCTCCTGGTGCCGATGGACGTTTGAGACCAAGAGGACATTCATGTTCGATCTCAACATCAGATCTTAGCTCCTGGCAGGGTTGCCCTCCTCACCATCGCAAATGATAAGGACAACTTCGCCGTGGATCTCATGAGCGCTCACAACTCCGAGCTGGATAACCACGCGTCGGACAATATACGGGGAAACTGGAGGGAACTTGTCGATTGGAACCTGCAAGGCCCCACTATGAGAGCATTTCTGGCTGCTGGTGACTTCGACCCCCGGGCGCGACCCGCAGCTACGTGGGCCCCGTCACAGAGGGCTTCGCCCCTGGCTCTGTTCCTGCAGAACGTAGTCGTGGATCGCAGCCTTTGCAAGCATACCGGGAACGTCTTCTATCTATGCTCACTGACATCCCGACTGATTGCCCCGCGCACTATTGCAGAGACACGGCCGCCGTAGCCTCATGGGAACGCATCTGTATCGGAACCCCAGCTCACTTTCTCCTAGATGTCGAAGTCTTGGCGGAGGTTGACATTGACGCGGCCGCCATCTCTGACTCCAGGCGCAGCGACCACGCGCCGATCGTTTTTCACCTTCCTGACCGCGGTCGGCATGACCAACAGACCAGTATTCCAGAGCGTGTCTCTCGTGATCCTCTTGACGGAGGGGTCTTGTGACAATTGATCGACGCGGCTCAACTTGATCGGTTTCAAGTTGTGCTCCAGTGGCGACGCATGAGAGACTTCATGACCGATGCTGCCTGTCAGGTTGGTGACGAAATTCAGCGCCTTCCGTTCTCGGCAAAAGACTCCCGCGCCAAGGGGGGGCGCATCGTCGCACTGAGGGTAATAGCAATATGCATCTGGCGCAACGACATCTACACGGCCCAGAAGCTGAAGGCCGCCACCGCCGACGGCGCGCGCTTCCTCCACGTGTCCAACGGCAACGCAGAGCTCCTCGACAGTCAGGTGTTCGCCCTCATCGCGCACGCCGCCAACTACGAGTTCGGACAGATGGAGGCCCGACTTTCTGAGAACAGGGCATCCAAAGGGGGGGGGCGGTGGTCGAGGAGGAGAGACGGGCTGCAAGGATGCGCAAGATGCGCGCTACTCTTTGGGCCCTCAAAGCCCACCGTCTCGCTCTCGCAGGGATCAGACCTTAAAGCCTGCAAGAGGCCCCAGCTGTCGCCGGGGGTCCCGAGGAGCAGATTGCGCCCGCCCTGACCTCCCATTGGAAACCCATCTTCGCTGCCAAAGCAGTTCAGGAGAAGGCCCTTCAGGAGTGCCTCGGCAAAGTTGCCCCCCCCACCCCCCCCCCCCCCCCCCCCCCCCCCCCCCACCACCCCCCCCACCCACCCACCACCCCCGCCCCTCCCCTCCCCCCGCCCCCCCCCCCCCCCCCCCCCCCCCCCCTCCCCCCCCCCCCCCCCCCCCCCACCCCCCCCCCCCCCCCCCCCCACCACACCACACCCACCCCACCCCGCGCAGCAAGATCTCTTACCTCTCTTAGACTTCCAACGGAACCCGAACTAGGGCGCGCCCTCAAACTTGCTCGGCGATCAGCCCCTGGCCCTGATCAGCTTTCGTGCGCAGCATGGAAAGCTCGACCTGAACAACTTACTGTCTTACATAAAGTTATGGCATATCTTTGCGGTGGACATGCAGTGCCCCTGGGGCTCAACGATCGCTTCTTTGCTTTTCTCCCCAAGGGTTGCCCGTTATCTGGCTCTCTCTGGGCTCTTGCAATGGGCCCCATTCTGAGATGTCTGCGCGCGGCCACGCAGTTCCCGCAGGCGAGGTGCCGCAAGGGCTCTCTTGGGGGTTGTGCTGACGATGTCGGAATGGTGACCCCTCGCCTGCGTGACCTGGTTGGCGTCTCATGTTTTTTCCTGGATGTTGAGCGGCTTGCATTCCTCAAGGTCCAAGGGGCCAGATGCGCACTGGTCCCACTGTGGACCGAGTGCACGGCAGCTGTCCAGATCAGGGTCCGAAGCGGGCTCTGTAGGTGGATCCCGCAGTGGGCCATTTTTAAGTTTGCTGGCCACACGTTCTACCTAGGGGTCGAAATGGGCCCTGCAGCCACACTCAGCATGATCTGGGCAAACGCGGCGGAGAAGTGGTGGTCGAGGACGATTGCTCTGCCATGCTCTGGAGCTGGTCCTGCGGTTTTCATATTACTAAAAAAACCTGTACAACACCACCGCCATCTCGACCCTCTCGTGCCTCGCCCAACTGTTCCCCATCCCTGCCATGATTCGCAAACCCGAACATCAGGCTTTGCACAAGCTGCTCAGGCTGCCGCCGAACAGCCTCAGACTGCTGATCTGAACCCTTCCCCATCTGTGCTCGCCAGTGCCCCGTCCTATGCCTATTTGCCTGGATGGGCTAGCAGCTGGCGCATTTCTTTTCGTATCATGAAGCATGCACGGCAGAGCGCGCTGCACAGCTTGAAAGAATACACCCAATAAAATGCTACAAAAGGTGCGCTTCACTGCAGAAAAATATAAGATATTCAGCACCCTGCTGGAAGCGCCCTTTCGCAACCGCACAAGTCATGGAGCGGGCCATGCTTCCGCGCCCCCCCCCCCCCCTCCCCCGCCCCCGCACCCGCCCCCGCCCCCTATTCACTGACAGGCCAGGTTGGCACGCAGCGCTTCGCGCAGCG